AAAGAATTCCAAAAGCTATTTATATAGTTCTTTTCTTGTCTTGGGCTTTGTCTGTACCAAATGCTACTTAAAATGTGAGAGCCTTTTTCTGGAGATAAGTAGTTTCCTGTGGGGTTGAGGTATTATGCTGATGTTGCTGTGGCAGCTACTTGGGGCTTGTTTCCTAACTAGTCTGTGTTTACCGGATGCCGAAGCCCAGAGAGTGGGTTGGGAAACAGGATATAACAGAGGTGTAGGCTAACTGCTATGCCAGGCAATTCCCAAATCCCAGCGAGCGTGCCTCACTCCCATCACAGTTTGCAGGCGTGCACTTGGCCGGGTGGGGCGGGAGGCTGGGGAGGGAGAGGGAGAACTGCGTAGGCGATTGGAGGTGTTTTTTAAGGGTCAAGCCTGGAAGGAAATGTGTGCCACTTGCTATTGGCCAGAACTCAGTTACACGAGCCCATCTAGTTGCGAACGAGGCGGGGAAATGTAATTCAGCTGTGTGCCCAGGAGGAAAGGGAAAGGGGTTGGATGGACACAAAGGCAGCCTGGCCCAATGGGTAAGCTGCAGTCTACTCATCACCCTGTGTCATGCCTGTTAATCTTCTTTAGTTTACCTTTGCTCAAACAAAAATGCCTCCATGGTTTTTATGGTGTAGAGGTTCCCTACCTATTTGTTTTTCTATAGTACACATGTACATATACGTATTTCTATTCAAACAAAACCCCACAGAGTTACAGGAATGTTTCTCGAAGTCATAAGAATCACCCAGGGAACTTGTGGAACTAAAGGCTTCTAGTTCCTGCCTTAGCCCCGCAGGATCTGCAGGTCTAAGTGATTGCTATGATCAGGTGAGTTTGAACACTGTTATATAGCAAATTCCAAGGGATAAAGCAAGTCAAAAAGGAGGTGTAGAAGGCTCTCCCAGAAGTATGCTGTTAAATATTACATAGTTTAAAACAAGTGTCGCATTTGTCTTAGTTTATAAACCTAGTTGTTATACATGAATTTTGTTGTATTTTTTGTTTCCAGAGATTTAATCTCTATCTCACATCCATAAATCAAAAGCTAGGAGCATGGTTGGGATCTTAGCCTAAGCTGATGGAGAGAGGCCAAATGGCTGACTCACTCAGACTTTATTTTATTCCAATCACTGAATCGTTTTTTTCCATTTTCATCATCGAATAAGGGACACCCTTGGCTAAGAGAATTTTCTTGTTGCATTAAGACAGTAAGCAGGAGTTCATGTTTGATAGGCCTGCTCATTATTTGTGCCTGACTTGGGAACAGCTAAATGATGACAACCCACTTTAGTTTCTAGATTTGTATTATCTTACTCTATGTATAGGAACCGTAAAAACTCCGATATTTTGAACGGCACCCCCTCCTGCAAAGCTGTGCCTCCATTCCCTGTAGAGAGCGGGCGGCCGCATTGTGCTTCTGGAATGGATGTCAGAGTGTGGATAATTCTGGGCTGGCGATTTCCCCCCCCGCCTATTTTATCTGCCTCTTTTTGTGTCTTTGTGTGCAAGTCTATGATTACTATTGAGTTTTTCCCTAAATGCCAGCAATTATCGCACAGGTGGAGGGATTAGGAAAGAGCTGGGGGAATTGCACTAGGATTAGACTCAAGGCTCCTCCAGCCGGCTTTAAGTACGGCAAAGGAGGGCGTGCAGACTTGGAGGGGGTGGG